GTGACCCGGTTAAGACCCTCCAAGGGCTTTTGCCAGGGATGGGGGGGTTCCTTCTGCGCTCTGTGGCTCTCTCCCCCCTCGGCGGTGGGGATTTCAGTGCTCTGGCAGGCGGGGGGGTGGCGGCTCACGGATGAGCAGGGGGAGCTTCCTGCAGGCTAAAAATACAGCAAAGTTCGCTGGAAGAAAAGATGACAAAGCAAGCAAAGGCTGTGGGCAGAGCTTCCTGCCTCTGGACGGTGCCGGTACCGGCGCGGGAGGGATCCGCAGCCCAGGCTCGGCAGGAGACCCCGAGTCAGGGCTCCGTGTTCAAGCAAGCTGTCAGTGTGCGGCTGGCGGTGGTGGAGCCGCGTTTAACCCTTCAGCCACCAGCCCCACGGCTCCAGCACGGGCGTCCTTCGGGCTGAGCGAAGATAAACACGGTGCTGACTGCGGCGAAACCCTGGTGAAACCGGGGGAGGAACCACTCCCGCCACGATTATATCCCGAAAAAAACTCCCCCCTCCCCGTGGGGGGCCAAAACTCGCAGGGGAGCACAGCGCCGGTGCAAATCCCCGCGGCCCCGCTCCGGCACAGGGCTCACCCTGACGCTGCCGTGGCTTTAGAGGGGCTCCGGGTTCGGTCCCTTCGCGGCATCCCCGGAGCCGAGCGACGGAGCCACGAGCGATGGGACCGGTCCATCAAGTCTGGGGAGCGAGCGCTTGGGCGCCGGTTTGTGCCGTGCGCCGGCGGAACGGCAGCTTGGGCAGGGTGGGGACAACACGCCGCCTCCGCTCTCCTTTGCAAAGCAGGGAAGAAACAGCCTCACCCGTCCTTCCTACGCCGTCATTTTCCTCCTCCTCCTCCTCCTCCTCCTCAGCCAAAAGGGTTTTTCCCAAGCAGCACGTGGTGGCTTGGAGAAAAATGCCCCGAGCCCCCTCCAAGACACTGGGGGGACACACTTGTGCCCCGAAGCGTCCCCAGCGTCGCAGCAGTGACGCCAGCCCAGAGAAATGATGACAAACCTGTTTTGCTCTGGGTGGGAAGCAGATTCTGGCCCCAAGGGTCTACCCGGGAGCGGGGGGAAGAACCTGCCGGGTCAGGGCAGGGGAAGCCCCAAAACCCAGCTGTCGGGCCGCGGCGGCACCTTGGGCTGGTCCATCCCATAAACCCGGTTAGCAACCCAGGCTGGGGATGCAGGAGAACAGTTCACCCTGAGACCACAAGGCGCTCCCCCGCCGCTCCTAAAGGGTTAATCCGAAAGCTACAACCTTCCTCAAATCAGTGGGGGAAAAAAAATTAAGTGTATATATATATATATATATATATGCATGCATAAAAAAATAATTATTTTTTTCCTGGCTCGCTCATCCAGCTCCTTTTGTTCCTGCCCCCATGGGCTGGGAGATGGAAAGACCTCGCGGCTTCTCCCTGAAAATCGATCCCCCTCCCCATCCCGACAGCGTCCACAGAAATCCCTCCACCGCTGCCCTGGGCAGCTTTTCCTCCGCGCCTCGGCCCGTTTTCCCCAGAAAAAGCACTGTCTGCCCCAGCCTGCGTCCATTCACCCCGGGAAAGGATAAAAGCTGGGGAGGGGGGAGGGAAATAAATTAAAATAAAGAGAAAAACCAAGCGCTTCGGTTCAGGTTAGCTCAGCCGCTCGGCTCCTGCACAGTCCCTTCTGCATCCTCCGGGTGCCATAAAGGGGGAAAAAATCCCCCTGAGGATGAAAACATGTATTTTTTTAATCTGTTTTTCCTCTTCTTTTTTTTTTTTTTAAATTTTTTTCCATGTTTTAAATGCCTTGAACAGAGAGAAGGGAGGGAAAAAAAAAAAACAAAAAAAAACCACAACACAAAACCACACACGCAGAGCCCGGCTTGGAGGGTTTCCAGCCTGGGCTGCGCTCCCTGGGAATAGTCCGGAGCCGTTTATAACCCGGCAAGTGCCGGGGGGAGCCCCGGCGGGGGCACGGTGCCGGAGTCGGGTACGGCTCTGGCCGAGCGGCACTTACGTGTGTGGGGCGGGAGGCGAAGCCAAAGGCGACGGCGGGACCGTCCGGGGAGGAAAGACGAAACGAGTTGTTCCAGCCTCAGCCGCCCCGGCCCTCCCCGCCCCCTGCAAAACCAGCTGGAGAAGCCATTAGCCCCAGCGCCGCACGCACGTAGGGACGGACGGACGGACGGCGGAGGCCCCACGCCGGCCCCACAGCCCCACGGCGCTGGCTGGGCCCCGAAAGGCGCCTCGATGCCCCATGGGGGGACACGGGGGGGACCCCGGCCCCGCGAGCCGCCAGGGAACGACAGCAGCAGCTCCGCCGGCTACGGTGGGGAACGGCAGCCCCCGCTGGCAGCAGCCCTATAGATCCCGCTGCCCTATAGATCCCGCTGACCTATAGATCCTGCTGCCCTATAGATCCCGCTGCCCTATAGACCCCACTGACCTATAGATCCCGCTGACCTATAGATCCCGCTGCCCTAGAGATCCTGCTGCCCTAGAGATCCCACTGACCTATAGACCCCACTGACCTATAGACCCCGCTGACCTATAGATCCCGCTGACCTATAGATCCCGCTGACCTATAGATCCTGCTGCCCTATAGATCCCGCTGACCTATAGATCCTGCTGCCCTATAGATCCTGCTGACCTATAGATCCCGCTGACCTATAGATCCCACTGACCTATAGATCCCACTGCCCTAGAGACCCCACTGCCCTAGAGATCCCGCTGCCCTACAGACGCCGCTGACCCACATACCCAGTGACCTGCATATTCAGCACTTACACGTCTATATAACCAGTAGCCTGCCTGTCCATCAGCCCTAGACATCCAGCAGCCCCACATATCCAGCCCTCTCGCAGCTCCTGCAGCCCCTTACACCCAGCAGCTCCACACGATCAGCGCTTACACACCCAGCGACCGGCACCTCCAGTAGCCCCACACATCCAGCAACACATTCTAGCCAGCCGCTTACATATTCTGCAGGGCCGTATAGCCAGAGCCCTGAACACCCACGTCCTGCATATCCAGCGACCCTATACATCCACTGACCCACACCCAGCGACCCTATACATCCACTGACCCACACCCAGCGACCCTATACATCCACCGACCCACACCCAGCAACCCTATATGGCCAGAAGTCTATACATTCAGCAACCCTACACATCTACCTGCCTCTATATACAGATCCAGCAGCCCTACAGTTCCAGCAACCCGTATTATAATCAGCAGTCTCATACATCCAGAAGCCCTACACATCGAGCAGTCCTACATATCCAGCAACTTCCATATTCCTCAGCCCCATATATCCAGCAGACCTATATATCCAGCAACCCTAAACACTCAGCAGCCCTGGCCCTATACACCCAGACACCCTACACATCCAGCGACCCGTATATCCAGCAACCCTATATGGCCAGCAGTCTATAAACCCAGAAACCCTACACATCCAGCTGTCTATATATCCAGCAGCCCTATATAATCAGAAATCTTATACATCCGGCAGCCCTATATATCCGGCAGCCCCATATAATCAGCAATTTTATAGCCACTAGCCCTACACATCCAGCAGCGTACACATTCCACAGTCCCACGAATCCAGCAGACCTACACACCAAGCAACCCTATACATCCAGTGACCCGTACACCCGACAGCCCTGTATGGCCAGCAGTCTATATAGCCAGCAACCTCGGATACCCCAAAATACCCCCCAAAAAAACAGGGGACAAGCTGGGGTCCACCCCCCCTGCAGGGATAGACAGACGTCTGTCCGTGCGTCTGTCCATCCTGCCTCCCCCAGCCGCCCTGCGGAAGCCAGAGCTGTTTCAAACTCGCTTTTCCCAACTTCACTTTTTCCTTTTCCTCCCTCTCTTTTTCAAATTCTTCCTTTCAGCCTCCCTGCTGGGGTACAAGAAAAGCGAACTGAAGCCCCCCCCAAACCCAACCAGGTTTTAAATCCTTCATCCTCCAAAAACACCCGCTCACCCCCGCCAGGGCCCCAAAAATCCCCCCATATAAATATTTGGGGGGGGTTATTAAATCCCGAAGGGCCCAGCTGCAGAGAACGGAGCAAGTTGGTGCATGCAAAGCAGCCCGGAAGACATCGCTTGGTGCCATCCCGCCGGCAAAAAAAAAATCGCTCCACTTTCTTACAAACCCCGAATTTGGGAGCTGGAAGAGAGCGGGCGCAGGCTGGACCGCACCGGCAGGGATGCTGAGCCCTTCGCGGTGGCATCTGGGCGGCTGGGGGGGACACACACACGCACACCCACACAGACACCCCCCGCGCCGCCGTGGGCCGGGGCTGTGGCGAGGACACGACGGGGTGTTTGGGAGGTCAGCGGGCGCCGCTGCCAGCCAGCGGCACGGGCCGGCCAAGAGGCAGGAGGCAGCTTGGCTGCCAGCCCCGC